ATAGAAAACAGCTCTATTTAACCCTCAGGCTGAACTTTAGCTGTCACCATGTTTTGTACAATTAGACATCATTTACACTCTGGATCATGCAGAGAGTTGTGTGGGTGAGTTTGTGTGTGCGTCTGTTGGGGCTGCAGGACTCTTAATCTGGATTATCATACAGCGCGGCCATGCTTTTCATAATCAGTTTGGTGAGCTGTGATTCTCGGCAGCGCATGACACATCTGGATGCAGGCAGTCGGTTGAGGGGAGGTGTGTGTGTATGTGTGTGTGTGACTGTGAGAGAGAGAAAGAGAGAGAGAGAGAGACTCCTCACTCCGCGGTCCTTGCGCACACAAATGGAGAGGGAACCAGCAGAAGACAACACTAACCGGCGGGTTTAGTCACATTTCCATGCACAGAATAATTTTTCGGGTAAGTATATATCATCATCTCCATTTCTCTTGCTATTATCTGCTTAAACACATCATCAGTGCTGCAGACGTTTGCATTTTTATCCAAAAGTAAGACGAGGAGTCTGCAAGACTATCACTGGTCTGGTGAGCATAAAAAGGCATTTTACCTGAAGCTTTTATCAACATTTTCTCACTTTAACTTATACTTCATGTCTGCGTGTCACACTTGTCTGGTGGATTTGAATCGTTCATAAAGTGAAAGAGTACAGCTCTGAGTATATGTGAATTCTGCGACCTGAATTTGACTTACATACTGTTTATAGCCACTACACAAGTTGGGACCACATGCTGTATATTGTGTGCAATCATATTTTATAATATGACCCTAATGTTTTTGGATTTGATTGTCACAGCAGAAATTTGTTTTCAGTAATGTAGTGATCTGTCTGATCATATCCACACTGGTGTAAATATGACTGCAACCAGCAATTCATTTAATTATTCATCTGTTGATTATTCTTTCAATTAATCAATTAGTCAAATCATTTTGTCAGTAAAATGTCAGAACGTAGAGAAAAATGCCCATTACGACTTCCCAGAGCCTGAGTTTCTCAGTTTGACAAAGCCGCAAATCATTTGACATTTGAGAAGCTGGAACCAGAAAATGTTTGACATTGTTGCTTCAAATATGACTAATTGGGCCTAGCTGATTAAAAGAATGGTTTAATTTAAAACATTTTTTGGTATACTTTATATTAAGGGTACAAATCATTTACTTAAGTAATGCCTAATGCATGACTCATGATAATTTAATGTATGAATAAGGATGTATGATGAATTTCTGTTGCCCACCACTAACATCAAGTCCTCATATGACTTTATGTGATCTGTTTCAGTTGAGGAACTTTAATTCATAAATTAATTTAGATATGTAAAAAAATAAGGAATGTAAAATTAAGCCAATTTAGTTAAAAAAATATACTTGACAAAACTTTATATACAATGTAATGTATTGACTTTTACTTAAAAAGAGAAAACTATAATAATTCTCAACAAAACATTCTATATATTTATACATTTTACTTATTGTTTACTATACAGTTTGACATCTTTTTTAACACTAATATGTACATATTGTTTTTATGTTTATTAGTACGACTGTGCAGAAATAAATAATGCCACGTTACAGATACTCAATAGTTATTGTAATTACCTTAAAAAGGGTGCTGCTTTATTTCGCAGCCAGCATACCCAGTAACTACGCTATAATTACAGTGCAGAAGGGTTGCATTTCATTTCAGTTCAAAATCTCTTATAAGTGTTCCCACTGGTTGAAATCCCATTGGTTGAAGCACTCAGCGACCCCCTGTGCCCAGAAGCACCTGCATTTGTTTCTTTTGGTCATTTATTCAGATTCTTCCTTTAATACTTCAACCATCTGTCTATTAGTTTTAACATAAGAATAAGAGTACTGATAGGAAGGATTGGGATGTTACTAATGACTACAATCAACACTGGGTCACGAAGATGGGCTAGCTTGGAAACACACCCCACCAAATGTTGGTTTAGCCCATAATCCGGCTGTGTGATTTGTCAGATTTCACAGTAAAACCCTGCATTAATGTTAATCTGAGATTGTTACTGTTCGTGTCTGATCAGAGGGTGGCACACAAGCACAAACACACACAAACCCCTACACACACACACACACACCCTGAGTCACAGACATGCTGTTAGGCTTATCTGTCACTGATTGAGAATGTAATGGATTGATCGAACACATTGCAGTGCACTCAGAGCAGATGTGTGCTGTGTTTCGTGCTTCAGCCGTTACACGATCACTGTGCGTCACACACAGCCTTGTGGAACAGTTAACAGCTCCTCTTATATTTGTTGTACAGGAGCTTATCATCAAGCATCTCACTTGTTAGGGACCTGAAATTTATGGTTTGCCCCAGTGATCGGCCAGTGGAGTCCTAAAATGAAGCAGCTATTGATTAAAAAAATCCTTGCAAATATTTACAGTACCACATTCACTCTTCCTTCTCTGCTTGACTTTATTTCGTTGTCCTTGTTGAAACCACAGTTCTACTCAGCTTTCAGTGGCCTGTGGGTTTGTCACAGCTGAATACAAAACAGTTAAACCAAACACCCGAAGGACAGAGTTGGGAGAGTCAGCAGAGATCACACAAACACTTAGCAACATATGAGGGAAATATTTATTTATATTTATTATTTCTGCTAATAAAATATTTTTTAAAAAGCCCTACCTCGGCTGCTATCAATGAAGCATGGCTATATGACACTTACAAACGTCATATCATCATCACATTGACAGTATTTTTTTTTAAAGGATTTAAAAAAAAAATTTGGTGGCTTTTTTATTGCCTTTATTTGATGGGAACAGCTGAAGATAGACAGGAAAGGGGAAAGGGGATGACACGCAGCAAAGGGCCACAGGTCGGCTTCGAACCCTGGGCCGCTGCAGCAAGGACTCTAACCGGGCAACAAAATTGACAGTATTTTTAGCTATGTTTGAACATGAGGACATGAGGTTTTGAATGAAATGTCTCAACAACTATTAGATGTACTACTGTGAAATGCGGTACACACAATCATGTTCCAACCAGATAAATGAAATTAAAATTACATTATATTTGCTAAAACATCAACACTTTTACATTGTCCTTGTGTGGTCTAATGCGACTAGCCGTCTTTCGGTGAACTGTTTTCTCAATATAAGAGAAAGGTTCCAAATGAGTCGCCATGTTGGTCCGACTTAAAATCCCAGAGCAGAAAGCGTTCGTCCAGTCAGTTGCAGCCAGGTAGTGTTGCAGGAGGCTGTAGCCTGACTACAAACATCCAATGCATGGACAGCGACATGACCCTTTGCGTCCATAAACAGCCCTGTGGACACGTACCTTCATAGCTGCTAACATGCATGGCAGTGGACTGTGGACATGTTTTAGTTTAAAGCCAACCAGGGGATATGGTACCACTCAAGGCCAAAAGATTTACATTAACTTGTCGATTTGGTCCTTTCACTAAGAAAAAGATTGTTTTTATATATTTTTGCAATGTGGTAATGCAAAAATTTAGCTGCAGTGATTTGATATAAGAATATTTGGATTAGTGAAAAAATACAACAGCATCTGGAGTCCCTACACAGCAGTTTCATAATGACAATATGGCAACATTTGCCCGTTCTGTTATTAGCTTGGACAAAACTGTGTTAGCTTAACAGTAGTTTAGCCTGCCTAATGTGCGTGGCAGTGCATGAGCGTGTTTGTGTGTGTGTGTGTGTGTGTGTGTGTGTGTGTTCTGGCACCTCGTAGGTTCTGGTCCCTCTTCCCACCCTGTGAAAAGCTACGAGGAAGGTCTAATGCACCCTGGCTGCATGTGTGTCTGTGAGCTTTATCTCCCCACCGTCCATTTTGGGTGAGAGCAGATTAGTCAGAATCCACCAGCTGCTGTGGAATTGGTTGAAATTGTGCCACACAGCACTGTAATGCAGTTACGTAAATCTGACCAGTCAGAGGTAGGGTTTAACTTACATAAAGAGCAGGGCACTTGACCCAGAGAGACAGTGAATGAAAGGGTCCCCACGGGGCCTTTGTGCTGTTTCCCAGCTCGTGTCCAATGATGCAGAACTGCTCTTTTCTCCCACAAAATGACAGCTGATAATTCACATTGCCTCTCTGTTCTGGGTTGGGTTTTGCTCATTTTTGACAAGTCAGTAGGCGGTGGCAGTATATTATGTTACGTGTAAAGATGCAATGCTACTGACACACAAAAGCCACATGAGGGGAATGACAGAGAGCATCTTTGAACTCCCCTCACAATTTATCTCAGGGTTACATAAGTAACTCTTTAAACAGCTCAAGAAGACATCAGAGGGAGGGTTGTGACTCCGGGTCTCTTGCGGCTGACAGTTAGCTCTGGAAGACACTAGTTGTTTCCTAGAACAGATATACATGCTGAATATTACTTCAGAAAGTGAATGTGGTCATGTGAATTTTTCCATGAAAACATTCAGCATTTGTTTAGGGATTACAATTTCAACAAAGCCAAAAATATACTGTTTTATACTGAAAGGCTGCATCTGTACTCAAATTATATTTTTTTCATTTCATGTTCATGTGCACAGAAAGTCTCTGTACATAAATTGAATGACATCCTATCAGCCCCAAAAGACATTAGATCCAAGCCTGAACTGCCCTAGTTTGTGCAACATTTTGGGGAGACAGACTGTCTTGTCTATTTTTGCATGCTTCTAAAACTCACTCAGTATGTGGAACGACAGCTATGGGAGAGGTGCTCACTTGGATCTGATTCAGGCTCAATAGTCTTCAGATTAATGTAAAGTTCCACAACTCTAAACACGTGATATTCACACATTAATGCGTAGTTGGCGCCGGTAAGCAGTTTCTGTGAAAATGAGGCACGAGTATAGAAAAGATGCCCTTCCTCTCTCTCCCTGGCTCATTCCCTGACTGCTTTTATTTGTTCTGCCCCCGAGGCTTAATAATGTAGCTGACCATGTTCTTTATTTATTCTCTTTCACTGACTCTTAGGTGCCTTGGCTGTGCAATGTAAAGTCAAGAAATGGCAGAGAGTGGAACAAATGGGGAAAGAAGAAGTGAGGCTAAAGAAAGAGGAGGTGGCAGACCTCTCCAGGAGCCCCACAGCCCAGCTCTCGGCCTCTCCCCAGGCGGTGCCCCCACCCTTGGGAGCAAGAGGCATCTGCCTCGAGGGATTGTGATCCAGCTGACTGGGACTGAGGGAGAATGGGACAGTCTCGATGACAGTGAGCTCATCTTCTCCCTTGACCACGATGATGACCACCCCTCTATATCTCTCTCCAAACAGTTTTCTGTTGAGGATGACAGAGGGTTGCAGTCCCAAGCGTTCCATGTCCCTCTTTCTCCCTCGTCTCCTGGCTCTTTGGGCACTGCCACTGGCCCCAGTTTTCTCTCACCAGGCCCTCCTTCACCCACCCACCGACCCTTTGCAAGCCTGGTCAAGTCTCTCTCCACAGAGCTGGAGCTCAAAGAAGGCTCCACCCTCAGACCTAAGCCCCTTCTCAGCCTCGTAAAGTCCATCTCCACAGAGATCTCCCGCTCAGAGCCCGAGGTGTCGCAGTCAAAATCGGACTCCCGCCTCAACCTCCACCTATGGAAGCAGCTTACCCAATCAAAAACCCGCAGCAATGGGGACTCTCGCACTGCGCCCCCTTCTCCTAGCTCACTCTCCCCTAGTGGAGAGGGTCTGAAAGGGGGCTTCTTCAAAATGGAGCTAGAGGACACCAAGAGGAAGCTCTCGGAGGCCGTGCACGAGCCTCTAAGCAGCATGTTCAGTAAGATCATGAGAGAGGAGAGCACAGGCAGCCCAAAACACCAGGGTAAGACCCAGGGGGCTCATCAGGGCAGCTCCAGAGGTTTAGGGCGTGAAAGCAGCACGGACACGGTTCTTTCTGAGTCTCCTGTGAGGAACACTAGAAAAACAGATGCTGATGTTTTGCCTGTGTTTGACTGGCCTTCTGTCAGACATCCTGGGAGAAGCCACCACAGCCACTGCCCTGTGCATCACAGCAGACAACATCACAGGGATGAGCAGCTGGAAATATATACAGACGGCGACATGATGCAAGTATTAGCCATTGAGACTCAGGGGCCAGATAGAAGATCACCTGCTGGTCCTCAGGTCCTTGCATCACCAGTGGTTAGGACTTTTCCCTTTTCTCAACCCCCTCCTCCTCTGCCATGCACAGGTTTATTCTGTATAGCAGTGCTGTCCTACGGCTATTTCATCCTACCTCTCAGTCCATACTTCTCTGGCCTGGCTCTGGGATTAGCACTGGGCTTCTTGCTAGGATTGTTTTTGATCAGGATGGGTTCCAGGTCTCGCTGCTCTGATCCTCCATACAGACCACCACAGATGTTGGGTGAGGGGATTCTGTCTGGTGGCACTGTCAGTATTGAGCCCGACACCCTTAAGGTAAATGGAGAAAAATGTCTTGTGTTTTTGTTCTCGCCTTATTTTCAGCCACCTCAGTCTCACTCCAATGCTCACACATTTCTAAGCATGTCTTCCATAAATAACTTCTGAGAAAGAACACTTACAGGTGTCATAAAGAAATCATCAGAATTCCATTCGTTTGCTCCAACCAACCCTTGTCTGTTGGGTTTTTAGTTGGCATTTTGGGAAATATGTTTCTGTTGGACATTTAGATGAGAAAATAAATACTACTCTAATGTCTGTCAATTAAATATAGTGATTAGCTTAGCACAAAGACTTGGAACAGGGAGAAATAATTAGCCTGACTGTTTCCAAATTTAACTAAATTTGCCGACCAGCTGCCAGGCAACCTCGAGAAACTCATATAGTGCAGCTCACAACTCCTGTTTTCAATTCTTTATGCTTTATCTAAGCTAACTTGCTGCGGGTTGTAACTTCATACTGAAGGGACAGCTATAAAAACAATAGTCAAGTTTCCATCGAAATTTTAGTACCAATTTGAATCTATTTTCCAGAAAATGTGCACAATAAAAAGTACATTAACGCACATTACCATCTACTGCTCTTTTGTGAATGTTAGGAGAAGACTGTATTGAGATAAACAGTTTTACCTGTCAGGATCAATGAAACTATTGCAGAGGAGGAGGGCTCAATGAGATGACATAATTAAGAGCCCCAGTCGAACCTGAAATTAACATTTGAACATTTTGTAGAAAAGATTTGTGTTTATGTTTTATGTTTCTTTCATGTATTTAGAGATTTCTCTCTTGTTTCTGGTCCACAAATACCTGATGTTTTAGTCATCATCAGAAACTTCAATGGATGTTTAAGTCACATGTTTCCTGTTTGTCATGGGTAATTTGCTATAGTTTCCATTGTACTCTGTCACATTTTGCTTTTATCAATACTTTTCTAGTTCAGCCAAGCGTAATTTATTAGAAGGACTAGTGTGTAGGATTAAGTGGCAACTAGCGGTGAGATTGCAAATTGCATCCGACTTGGCTCCCCCACCCGCTACTGTAGAAACATACCGGTTCAACATGGCAGAATCTATAGAAAGCGACCCGCTGACGGCTCAATCTAAGGTAACAAAAACGCAACAATTTCTTGTTTTCAGGTGATTATACACGAATGAAAACATACATATGAATATTATATTTCATTTCTGCCAACAAATCCTTTTAAATGTTGCACACTGGACATTTAATTTAATTTATGATATATATATATATATATTATAATTTTTACAAATTATTGGTTTCAGTCATTTATATGCACATGCATTTTTTTATGCACAAACTGAAAATGCACATAAAAACAGGTGGATGGATGCTATAGTATATTGTTACATTGTTATATTGTCATTGTGACAATGCCAGTGTAGAGTGTAGGATTCTGACCATACCAACTACAGTATGAATAAACCCTAGCAACCAATTTTTGCTCTTGAAACTGGTACCAGGAGGTACAAGAGAACAATTTCAGAAATTGCCTTTGGAGTGAAAAAAGGTTCAAAACAAACTGAAATTTAATATCTTTCTGACTGTGCCATACTAGCACAGCTGCAGACTACTCTGACTTGTGGCATTTCAAACGAACATAAAATATTATCAGGAAAACCTACTTAATGAAAAAGACTGATTTGTGAGTGAACTTTAAAAAGCATGTTTAAAGGCTACTCTAAATACTGTAACAAGAGTAATTACTCTTGCAGTTGTGCTAATAGAATAGTTTGTGCAGCGTCAAGTTGGCAAGCCACTTCAGCACCTCTGCTGACTGGTTCCTTCATAGATTAAAGCTTCTGAAAGTGGAATGCAATTAAAAACTTCAATAATAAAAACTGCCTGAGCTGCAGTGGTAATTACTGTTCTTCTCCTGGCTGAGCTTGACACAGGGCAACTGGAGAGGACAGCTACCACCCAGACAGTGTCAGTTCCAGAGGCAATTAGCGGGGAATACAGGCAGGAGGAAGCTGTAATTTGTCAAGGCGCGAGGCAGGAGAGTAGTGGTGATGGTGATAGTTGGAAATAGGGGGTTTTCTGTCTCAGGCTTGAGATAATTCCCTTGTTTGGTCATTAGCAGTTTTGTTTCAGTCCGAGGATTGTTACAGTGTTAAAGAGCCACAAGGTTTATGGGTAATCAGATGACAGAATGAGATCAGTTGTGGTGTTTGATTGCAGGCACACGTCTGCAACGAGGGCAGAGGCTGACACTGCCAGATAAAGCCAAATCAAATTTCAGTATGTATAATGTATGTATAATACACTGTTTATTAGTTAATTGGCACATTAAGAGGGAGCATCAAAGGGGAGGGGAGCATTCTGCTCACATACAGCCGTACTGAACACTTCAGCATATATTTCAGACTGAGGGAAGTTTCATCCTAAAGCAACATTTTTTTATTTTACAGGAAAGCCACCATGCTACACTAATTAGGATTTTATGTCTATCAAAATTGTTGTTTTCAAGCATCTCAGTTTACACTGAGTTAATTTATGTCAAATTATAAAACAAAATGGCTTCAGGTTTTGGAAAGTTAGCTTTCCTGCTGAGATTTAGATGAGAAGATTTATTGACAATTACAGTGACTTCCTGGAGTCTTGTTGATGCCAGAAAGTTGCCAGACAACCAGAGGAGTCTCCAGGAAGTCACTCAGCCAGACTGTCATTCCCCAGTAACGATTCTAACTCATAACTTTGCACATAACTTAGTCGATTAGCTTAGCCAAGCAAAGTCAATTAGCTGAGCAAATAAGTAAAAAAGTAAATAACTATATTTCCCAAAATGCCGAACTAGAATGTCTTAGCATTACAGTAGCTCAAGGGTTGATTTGCTTTGAGATCAATGTACTGCAATTGGTTTACCCTAACCCCAACCCTGCGTCTAACCCCTAACCTTTACCATCTATAACCCATTACCCTCTGATTGGTAGAGTTTGTTGACAGCAGTATGAAGCCAGGAATGATGCGTCACTTGCGAAGCCAAATCCAGCGCACAATGGTTTGGGCCAACCTCCTTGGATCTGTCACTGAAAAAGACACATTTACAATCATATGTACTTTTTGCTGTATACTTCAAGGTTGATTACAAACATCATACCATGATTTTCAAGACTGAAACAATTCCAGATGGAGTGTTTATTACTCACTTGAAACTGTGTGCAGTGTTGATTGAAGTGAACACTTACTTTCTACCTTTGCAGGGCTGGATGAATGAGATACATGATTACGACCCAGAAACCTATCACCCAGCTCTGACTCACTCCGTGTTTGCCACTCTGGAGGGCTCCTGTCTCCGCCTGGACTCCCCGCGCACCAACATTAGCCGCAGGGCAACATACGATGAGAGAGTCCATGAGGCCACGTTTGTCAAGTCACGCTCCTTTCAGCTTGCAAAGAGCAAAGTATGATGAATGCCTAAGTAACTGTGTTAAGGGGTGTTTGTTCTGTATTTGAGACTGTGGTTAATATATCCTGGTGCTACGGTATGTAGTCACTACAGGAGCTCTGTATTAAAGTATTTTGTATCCAATGAATTAATGGATGCATAGGATTTTGACTAATGAATGCATGTTGGGAGTGATATTTTCATTTTGCCTAAAATTGCTAGTAATGTTAGGGAGCAAATAAACAAAGGTTTGAAATAAAGGTTAATTGGAAACAAACAGTTAAAACAACTTCTAATATCGGTTAAATTCTTCTGCATTTATTAATAATTCATAAATGGGACTGCATTGCCCAATTAACAGTTGTCTTTTGTTTTGACATAACACAACTCTGCCACTGTTCCCCAAAGGTATTCCTGCTGCCATCTGTGTTAGCTCGGAAGAGGATGTGGAACCCAAAGTATCCCATCTGCATCCAACTGGCAGGGGGAGTCAACTCCCAAGGGGATGAGGAAGGAAGGTCGGAGGATAGTCAGGGAGAGGAGCCAGAAGCTGAACCGGCATGTCCACAACAAAGTTCCTCCAAACACATCCATGACCTTCCCACAACTCTGTATCTCTTCGGCCGCACAGGACGTGAGAAAGAGGAATGGTTTCGTCACTTCCTGTTTGCATCCATGGATACAGAGAGGGAAAAAGAGAGGGACAACCAGAAGCCTGGCAGATGTGTGTCCAGATCAGGTATGAGAAACGTCAATAATGCATTAGAGAAGAGAATGCGTCCAGATAAGGCATCTATACAAATGCCATGTATGTGTGGATTATGGATTACATGCTCCAGTTCTTTACATTTCAAAGCCAATCCCTTTCGAGGGAACACACAGATCTCACAGTGGACAGGGCAAAGGTATCAGAAAAAGAATCACTGAGTTGCAACATATTACTCATTTGTTTCTTCTTTTCTTATACAGCTCTGTCATTTCTCATTTATTAGTTTTTCCTTTGCTACACTCCATAATGCATTATAGGGGCACTAAATGAAAACAGTTACTCTGTTGTACTCTGGGGAATTTCTGGTGACTAATACAAGAGAACAGGTTTTGGTTAAGTGATTTTAAGGAATTGCTGACGTCTTGGGAAATAAGCTTATTTATTTTTTTTGTAGTTAGACGAGAAGACTGATACCACTCTCATTTCTCCACATATGTGCACCCATTATAGGGCTGGAGCCAGGAGACCGTTAGTTTAGGTTAGCATAAAAACTGAAAATAGGGGAGAACAGCTAGCCTGGCTCTGTCCAAATGTTTGGACCATGGGCTGCTATGACCTGCAAGGTGAGGGTCATGTGATCAATGTGGATAGCCGAAGGCTTCTAGGTGGCTAATATTTGGTAGCCTTAGTTTTAAACCACATTTAAGGACCCATTTAATATCTGAATTACAATTATTTTGCCCCAGGATTGTCCCAGACCCAGTGTCTTTGTATCAATGGGACATCCTTAATTTCGAGTGCTGCCAGCAGTAAACATGCTAGCAGATTAGCATTAGTGCTAGCTTGGCTACTGCCTTTGGTCACGTGACCCTCGCTTTGCATGTTGTAGCAATCCTTCAACAGGCTCCCAAGAAACAGGCTGGCACATAATCCCCCTTAAAATAACTTTTTAAAAATTATTATTATTTATTATATATTATTTTTACACACATGGATTAAACAAAAAACATGTGAGTTTTAGATAGTAGGTGGATTTTCTACCTTTTGACAGAGCTAGGTTTCCCCCTTGTTCCCAGGTAAACTAAGCTAGGCAACACTCCATTTGAATTATTATCACTTTTCATTCTTTAAAATGGGTGTTTGCATCCTTTCGTGCTCTCACAAATCATGCTAGTCAGCCTACTCCTTTCGTGAATAATCACTGCAACCAAAAAGCATTAATTTCCAAAGCAAAGAAAACTGCTTTTTTTTCTTACCATGATTATCTTTACCAACCAGATAAATGTTTCCTTTATTCTCCCAGGTGACAATGCACTGGCACAGAGCGTTAGCACCTCCGGTAATGTGCCAAGCAGCAGAGGCCCCAGCAGAGTGGGCAGCAGCGAAGATGACGCCCCCTCCACACCTCCCCCCTGCATGTCTGCAGCTCACGTCTGTAAGACCTCCAGTAGCACCCGGGGCCTTTCCGTGTTAGACTACCCCCGCTACATGGCTCATCTCCTGGCCACAGAGGAGCTGACCCCCCTGTCCAGTCCTGGAGCCAGCAGCACAGAGACAAGCCCCACCGTCAAAGCAAATGTGAGTCATGCATGCAGATAGAATTAAACGAAGCAAACGAAGTGAGGCTGTAGGAACGTGCCAGGGCCGCACAGTTTACACGTTATATAGCATGTGCAGAGAGTAAACTGACCAGTGGAAAATGGAATTAGTCATCAAACATGTTATTAAAGTGGGTCGGTACATGTCTCCTGGAAGGAAAGTAAGGTAATACACTGCAGAGTAACCTGAATAAAACACAATGTTGTTGTGTCAGTGGAAAAACTAGCAGGGATTTTTTTGGGCATTCACAAAATGATTCTATTTTTCTTCCTCTATTTTTAGTTCTGAATTTTTACTAAAACTGCACTTTTCTTCTCCTTGCTTCAAACCTCACTCAGTTTTGTTTTTTTTGACAGTGTATCTGTGATCAAGCGGAACACCCTGGGACGAGCCAGACCGCGTGGGCTAACGCTCTAATTGGTCGAATCTTCTGGGACTTCCTGCGAGAAAAGCACTGGGCAGACGTGGTCTCCCACAAGATCCAGAAAAAGCTGAGCAAAATCAGAGTGCGAGCGGTTTTGTTGAAACTTACTGTGTCAGTTTGAAGGTTGACTAAACGTGTGATCCGTTTCATCCAATTTAAAACTATGATCTGGTATATTCTTGCAGCTGCCTTACTTTATGAATGAGCTGACTCTGACTGAGTTGGATATGGGCTGCTCTATGCCTCAAATCATCTCTACCTCCAGACCAGAGGTCAACCACAGAGGTGAGCACCGAGTGGAGATCAAACACACACAGAGGCAGTAACAGCAAGAGATCAGTGAGAAGACGACCTGTTGCTCATGTGATTACAGCTGAGTGCTGCAGAGCATCCGATCAGACGCTGTTATCCTGTTGTAATCTCAGGAGAGCCATTACACCACAGCCTTCAACATTTAGAGCATATTGGCTTGTGTGTGTGTATGTGTGTGGGTGTGTGATTTAAAATCAGGCAATCTGGCAGACAACACTCCTAATGATGAGTGTGTCTACGTGTGTGACCTAGTGATTTGTTTTCTTTTTTCCACTTCGCCGTTACACAACTGCTCCTGATCCTGTTTTTCCCTGTTTTTGCTGCTCAGTCCACATGTGTCAGCTCCTGGGAGGTGGGGGTTATATTCTGTCGTAATTTACTATAAATTTAATTTCAAGGCTTGATAATCACAGCGAAAGCTGTTTAATCTGCCCACTAAGCGGTGTGTGTCAAGATTAGGCTGTGTGTTATGAGCTTTGTCTGAATTTTGGTGGTCTGCCCTTGACCTCCGTGTGCTGCCATCTGCAGGCCTGTGGGTGGAGCTGCAGCTGGTCTACACTGGTGCCCTACAGATGACCCTGCAGACCAAGTTCAACCTGTCCAAGCTGGGTAAAGAGGGCGGTCAGGATACAGACTGTACGACGGAAACTGGTAGCCCACGGTCAGTGCTACACACAAAGCCATACACACTCACACTGTGACACTGACATTTGTGCATCAACTGTCCACACTTATACACTTTTCTGAATGGTTTAATAAGTAGCATTTTTTGGCTTAACTCATTGTTTCCCAATTCTACTAAATCTCCTATTGTTTATAGAAATGTGATATTGTTATTTGTAGTAGTAGTAGCAGTCATTACCAGTGTCACTGGCTGGTTTTCTTTCACAATATATGTAATTTTATATTGTGATGAGTGTGACTTAGTACTTTAGAGATTTTGAAATGGTGAAAATCGAAGTAGCACAGACAGATACAGCATATCCTGGCTTTTAGTCCTAAATTGAGATTTGAAAAAAAAAAAACTGGAGCCTACAATCCCCATAATGCAACTCAGTAGCATCTTTAATTAGACCTTGCAGGGATATTTTCTCAGCCTTTAGAAAGTTCCTCCAAAACCAAGGCAGACATTATAAAGCTGTAAAAATCGGTCAGTATTTCTCTCAGCTTCTGGTGCATTTCATCATATTGCCCAGGTCTAGTAGCAGGAGTGATGACCCAAATCGTCCAAATAAACCCTGTATTCTCATTCTCATCATTTCTATTGCCCACACACACACACACAC